TTGTTTCTCTCTTTTTTTTGGCTCTTAGATTATTTTACAAAAGAACTTGCAGTGAAAATCTACTAGAGATTTCCCATTAAACCTTATAAAACTGACCAAACCAAGCCGCAAAGTCTTATTTTGATCCAGTTAGCTGATAAAAGTGGAGAAGTCTGTTCTGTCCTTTGGAATGTAATATACAGCAACTAGGCAGAGGAACATTTCTTCAGTAGCACCGTATTACATAGATAAAAAAGATAACAAAAGATAAGAAGATCAGTATAAAAAAGAGAAAAAGATAAGGCAAGTTTGGGAAAAAGGTAAAGAAAAGCAAAAGGGAAAAACAAGGAAAAACAAGAAAACATAAGAAAGGAAAAAGGAAAAAGATAAGAAAAGACCAGAAATAGGAAAAGATAAAGAAAAATAAGAAAAAAGATAAGGTAAGGTAAGATAAGATAAGAAATAGGAAAATATAAGAAAACAAAAAAGAACAAAAGATAAAAAATATGAGAAAAAATATGAGAAAAGATAAAAAAAATATGAAAACAAGAAAAAAGGTAAGAAAAGATAAGAATAATATAAAGAAAAGATAAGGAAAAGATAAAAATAAGAAAAAGATAAAAAAATATGAAAAGATTAAAATGATAAGATTAAAAAAATAAAAAGAAGAAAAGAAGAATATAAAAATAAGATAATAAAAAATAAGAATTAGATAAGAAAAGATAAGAAAAAATAATGAAATAAGAAAATAAAAAGATTAGAAAAAAAGGAAAGATGAGAAAAAGATAAGAGAAAATAAAAAAGAAGGAAAAGTAATAAAATTGTTAAGAAAAGATAAGAAAAAGATAAGAACAGAACAGAACAGAAATACTTTATTTGGCCAAGTGTGATTATGCATACAAGGCATTTGTCTCTTTGCAGAAGCTCCCAGTGTTCAGTACATACAAAACAACAGAGTAATAATAATCATAATAATGATGCCAATAAGAAGAGGTAGTAGAAAAGATGTAGGATAATAATACTATAGCTATATTACATGGGTAAATATACTTAGACATAAGAGAGTACTGTGGAAATTAGATGGTCAGCAGATTGATGGCATGAGGGAAAAATCTGTCTCTGTCTTTAGATGTGTTGGCATGCAATGCCCTGTAGCAGCATCACCAGGGAAGGAATCAAAACAATTTATATGTGAGGAATCTGTGGATATTTTGTCAGCCCTCCTTCTGAAATATGCAATGTACTGGTCCTCTATGGAAGGCAGGCTGGTTTCAATTGTTTTTTCTGCAGTCCTAAATATCCATTGAAGTCTGTACCTGTCCTGTTTGATTGCAGTACCAAACCAGACAGTTATAGAAGTACAAATGCAGACTTAATGATTCCTCTATAGAACTATATCAACATTTCCTGGGGCAGTCTCAACTTTCTGAGTTGATGCAGGAAGAACATTCTGTGTTGTGCCTTTTTAATGATGGTTCTAATGTTAGGTGTCCATTTCAAATCCTGGGAGATTATAGAACTCAAAAACCTGAAGGATTCTACTGCTGATATTGTGTTGTCTAACATAGTAAAAGGTGGTAAAATAGAACAGAATAATAAGGGACCTTGGAAGTCTTCTAGTAAAACCCCCTGCTTGAGTAGGGGTCCCTATACCAGATATGTCAAACTCACGACGTCAGATGATGTATCAGAACCTTTCCCCCATTGCTGGCAATGGGGTGGGCGCGGTTTCCTCATGACATGTCTGGCCTATGGGCTGGCAGTTTGACACCCCTGCCCTATACCATTTCAGACAAATGGTTGCCCAGTCTCTTTTTGAAAGCCTCCAGTGATAGAACACCCACAACCTTTGTTCTAGGTTGTTTATCTCCTTGATTAGTTTCCATCCCTTGTTTCTTGTCTTGCCTTTTGGTGCTTTGGAAAATATTTGACACCCTTGTCTTTGTAGGAGCCCCTCAAATGTTGAAACACTGCTATCATGTCCCCCCGAGTCCTTCTTTTCATTAGGCTAGACATTTCCAATTCCTGCAACCATTCTTCATGTGTTTTAGTCTCCAACTCCCTGATCATTCTTGTTGCTCTTTTCTGCACATTTTCCAAAGTCTAAATATATTTTTTATTTTGTGGTAACCAGAACTGGATGCAATATTCCATGTGTGGTCTTACCGTGGCTTTGTAAAGCAGTACTAGAATTTCACATGATCTTGATTCTATTTCTCCATTAATGAATCCTAAGATTGCATTGGCTTTTTGGGCTTTTGCAATACACTATTGGCTCATATTTAAGTGATTCCGGGACTCCAGGATCTAAATCCACTCTTATCTAGAGTTTTAAGTATGTTCAGCTCCAGATTGTTCTGGCTGCACCACAGGACCTGTTGTACAACTCCCGTCTATATGCAAACTCATCAACATTTTCAGTGCAACCAATGATTGTTGTACTTTAACACAGGGATCTTTCAAGATTCAGTCATTAGTACATAAAGAATAATGGAGAGTTCACACAGCCGTGGGGGTGCCAGTGCTAATTGTTTGGGTATTCAATGTGATTTTATTTAGCTTGACCCACTGTTTCCGATCTCTCAGAAAACTTATATAAGTGAAAGATAAGAAAAAAATAATGAAATTATAAAGAAATGATAAGAAAAGGATTTAAAAAGATAAGAAAAAAGATAAGAAAAGATAACTAAATAACTATGAAAAGATAAGAAAAAGAAAATATAAGATGAGGAAAAGATAAGATAAAAAGATACGGAAAGGTGAGAAAATAGATAAGAACAAACAAAAAATTAAGAAACTATAAGATAAGAAAAAAGAAACAATAAGGAAAAGATAAAAAAAGAGATAAGAAGTTAAGAAATTTAGAAAAGATAAAAGAAATGAAATGATAAGGAAAAGATAAGGAAAAAGATAAGAAAGATAAGAAAAATAGAAGAAAAGAAAGAAGGAAAAGATTAAAAAATGGAAAGATAAGAAAATTATAAGATAAAGAATAAGATACGAAAGATAAGAAAAAGATAAGGAAAAATAATGAAAGATAATGAAAATAAAAAGATAAGAAAAGATAAGAAAAATAAGGAAGATAAGAAAAGTTAAGAAAAAGATAAAGAATAAAGATAAGAAAAAATAAGAAAAGTGATAAGAAAACATAAGAAAAATATAATAAAAAGAAAAGAAAAAAGAAATGGGAGGATAAGCAATAGAAAAAAGATAAGGAAAATAGAAGGAAAAAATATAAAGATAAAATAAGAAAGACTTTAAGGAAAGATAACAAAAAGTTAAGGAAAAGATAAGGAAAATAAAACAATAAGGAAAAAAAGAAAAAGATTAAAGAAAGATAAGGAAAAAGAAAAAAGATAAAAAATGTAAAAGAAAAGATAAAAAAATAAGAAAAAGATAAGACAAGATAAAAAGAAATAAACGATACGAACAGGTAAGAAAAAATAAGACAAAGTATATACTAAGCCTCTCATTAACTTTTTTTGGGAATCATAATTTTCTTCCAGAGATGCTTACACTACTGCAGCCATTTCTTTTTTCCTCTAACATTTACAGTCCTTGGATAAATGCCACTTTTTCCGCAGGTGTGACAACTACAATTAGTGGGCTCCAAAATCCCAGAGAGCCAACACAACCCTACCTAGCCTCTAGTCAACAAATAGCGCTCAAAGGCTATTATTCATTATTACCATTGTTTCCCAATTCTACTACAACTCCTGTTCCTCCACTACTTCTCTTTCTGAGCCCTGCTTATGGAGAACAGCAATTTTTCTATTTCTTTTAGGCTGATTCAGGCAGTTTTAGTTTTCCAAATGAACACAAAATACCAAAATACCATCCACAGCTGCTTCTCTACTCTGCTTTTATAGGCATCAATTGCTGGGTTGGCTAGGAGAGGTCTTAAGGGACAGGGCACCAGCAGCCTAGGTGCTGACTGTTTTGAGGTTGCTTGTCCTCTCACAATTGGACACACTGAATTAGCTAATGCTGCCTTTATTTTTTTTTTATAGGATTTATTGATATTCTACTTAAAATTTCATTTAATTATAATTTATGATTTCTTAGGGAACTCTTTTCCGCTGACTTTTATATTAATTGGTTAAAAGATGGCGTAGGAAGTATATTTAAAATCTATAGTATGATAATTAAAAAAGCATGCTTTCAGACACATGTATCTAACTGATTGCTTGATCCTGTAAATGTTGTTCATTCATGTATTTCAGGTTCTTCTTCACATTTCATAATCAGAGAAATGATTGGCTATTATATGAAAAAGACTTTCACACTAAGACTGTTAATTTTCCTGTTCAGAAAGTGATACTTTCATTTCCTTTGCCTGGTTGTTGATGTTTTCATGCTAAATTCACTTGCTTGCTTGTCTGAAATTTTACTATTTGCTATCCTTTTTCTTTATGGTATTTCCAATTATTTTGAGCTTATCATCTTTTTTTTTAAAAAAACACCAGTTTGACATTTTATTATTTTAACCATCTTGTTCTTTCTTGAGTGTTCTTTTTAAAATAAAGGTGGAACATCAATTTGAAATTATCAACATAAAAATGCATCCATCTGTGATTGCATTCAGTTCCCTTTTGTGTGAATACTTGGTGACAAACTTCGGTGTAATATGTGAATTGGCTGTAATGGATTTAATCTGATTTCCTATTTCTTCTCTAGAGAGAACATTAGAACAGAGACATCTCTCATCATCTCTGCATCACGATTACATTTCCTTGATTATTTAATCAAAGCCTGACATAGTCTTTCAGAACCCTGAATTGTTTGCATAAAATCAGTTTGAAAGATTGAATGGCCAAAAATATTTATTGAGCATTCTTTTATCAAAGTGCAACTGAAAGCTTTATGTTCTGAATCATACAAAAGGAAGTAAGGAATGCAATTGTATATTGTGCTACATAAATAATTCTTACTGAAATGTGCAAGATTTCAGGATCATAGAATAAACACTAATTTTATTACTTTGATCAGCTTATTGCATATACTGATCAAAACAAACTTACCTTACAAGGTGTTTGCAACCATGGCTCCCCATCAATCTGCATAGGCAAAGATTTGCTAGTCCTAATGCAAAAAAAAAAAATGCAGGGAAAATAAATTAAGGACATGTTTTAAATGCCGCATCTCACATGGAAAATAGTACAGTTTAATGTCAATCATAGTTGAAAAATAAGGCATATACACCTTTCTAAACATATAGTGTGCATATGTGTATTTCCCAATCCACAATGAATCCTTTATTCGTTATTTTTTAAAACATCAAATACAAGCATGATTGATTTAACAATTTTGGCTCAAGTTACTCTTAGTTAACTTTGCCATATGGTAAATTAGCAATTTGTTTCAACAGGTCTCCAACAGGCATGTTTCCAGGAGATATGTGAGCCAACATATTTGTCAAATCATTCACAGAATTAAAGAATCATAGAGTTGGAAAGAACTATTTAGGACACTAAATTCAACCCACTGCTCAATGCAGGAATCCAGATTAAAACATCCCTAGAAATTATATCAGAACTCCTGTTAGAATACAACTAATAAAAACAGCTCACCACTTCCCATGCAAATTGATTCCACTATTGAATTGCTCTTACCATTATGCTAATACTCCTAAAATTCTCATGGAACTTGTCTCTCTATAACTTAAATTTCTTTCTAAAATAACTTTTACAAAGTAATGCAGTCAACAACAACAACAACAATAATAATAATAATAATACAATAATATGCCTTCCTTTCATGAATCTTTTCAGGTACTTGGTCCATATCACCTTTCAATTCTTTTCTTTTCAGGCTAAAAATTCCCTAATCTCTCCCTGTAATTTTCAGTCTTCTAATCACTATCTTTGTCCTTTAATGCTTGAAATATAGTGACATATTTGTAGAGATGTGTAGAATGGGATACAATATACATGATGAGATCTGACCAAAGCAGAATATAATGGAATTATTATTTCTTATGATTTGGACACCCTTGTTTTCTTGATTCATTCTAACATGTAGTTATCGTTTTAGCCTACTTTATTATGCTACTTATTCACATTCAGCTTGTGATTAACAAGATCTTTTTCACATGTATTAGAATTAAGCTAGCTAGCTCACATCATATTTGTATGCATTAAATGTATATTATTAAATGAATCATTTTGTATTTGATTCTGTTATATTTCATTTTATTAATTTCAGCCTATTTCCTCAGCTTACTGAAATCTTTTTGAATTTTTAGTATTAGTATTAACTATCATAATCAGGCTTGTCTGTGCAAATAAAATCAATTCATTCATTTAATCCAATTATTGAGAAAATCTGGAAGAGTACAAAGCCAAGCACTGACTCTTCTGGTACCCATCTTGATGCCATTCTCCAGGTTTTTTGCTTTGGATCTTTAGAATGCCATATGTACCATATTTAACTACCAAATCTTAAATGTTCAAACTTTATTGAAATCTAGGCATATCATGTCACAGCATCCCAGTAATCTATTTGATAGTAAAGAAACTACCAAATCAGAAAATGTACTCTGAGATATAACAAATTATGTTATGGCAATTAAAATGATTTTGCTTTTTCTTGTTATCTATTACTTTTTTGCCATCTTTAGAGCAGCTTATTTTCTCTTATTTTTATTTTGAACATATTGGAAGTTGTGCTGTTTGTTTTTCTTTCCATTTCTGTTAATTTAATACCATTCAGATTTAAGTTTTCTGTTACCAGCTAAACAGACTATGAATATTTGTATCATTTTTATTTGGTGATTTTTGCAACTTTTTATTTTTGTATTTTCACTAATCTTTTTATGTAACCATACTGCTTCTTCTAATGTTCTCCATTTGTTTTTGTTTTACCCACAGGAACTTTTTAATCCTTTTTTTTCTTTTTTAGACATTTCCACCTATCTTGTATTTCTTTTCCCATTAGCTTTTTCTGCCTTGTATCTTATATATCTTTAGTTATGACCTTACTACAAAAGGATTATTCAGTTAATAAGTTGAATACAACATACTGACCTATCAAAACCAAACTATCATGTGAAGATAACTAACACATGCTGAGCTTACTAACACAGAAAAGTTACAAAAAGTTACAAAAATTCAGTGGTCTTGTCATATTTTGTGACATATTTTTGTAATATTTTGTGAATAGAGTGCCAGACAACTGATTTGACAAAAGAACATAAGCAAGACAGATTGCATCTGATCAAAGGTCTATCCCAGTATGGTGTTTTCCACTTTGTCCAACCTGAAGTGTTTTGAGATAATTCCACAGTTGCTTCCATTTAGTAGTTAAAGACATATTACTTCTGAATCAGCCATTGAGAGTATCTTCCATGATTTCCATAAAATCTGATTTAAAAACATCCAAGCTATTAAGTATGATACTGAGTTCTAGAAATGTATTAATTATAGTTGGTAAAGCTGGGTTAAGCCTGTCCTGGCTTTTTGGTTGATAAAGGCAAATAATTTTTTTTCATGGGAAAAGTTGGTTCTTACCTAATGAAAACAGAAGAACACTGAGAAAGGCGTCTTCCTGCACTTTTCAATCCAGTATATATTTGTCCCATTTCCATGGCTCCTTCCAGGCCAACCACTTCTACCAACTGATCACTTAGGTCTGAAAACAAAATGCACAGTTCTACTGAAAACTGTGGAGGAAGCATGAATGCTAATGCAAACAGCACACTTTTGCCTTATTCTCCTGCTCTTCTCAATAAAAATATATACAAATAAATTAGAAACCAATCAACACTTCTGGCCAAAATATTACTATTTCTGGGTAACAGCATTTTTGTAGAATATATTGGAATGAGGAGAATTTGGTCTTGGAATGTTCTAGCATGCCATTGAAGAACAGTCTTGGTGACAACTAAAGTAGAAGTAAAGCTGATTTCAACAAAGCTATTTTCTCAGGTCATAATTAAAAAAAAATACTACAATCCTTGCACTGCTATCTTTCCACAAATATAATCAGAGACCACAATAAGCAAAGCATGTGGTCAGATTACAAAAAAGGTGAAAGCATTAAGATTTAGAAAGTCACCTGAGCTGGAAGTAAAAGCATTTTTAATGTAAAGCCAAGAATAAGCATATTCCTTGTGTAACTGCCAATTGCATTGTCTTAACTCTGAACTATTGTTCTTTCAATTTCCTACTATGTCATGACTAAAACAGAGATTTAATATCCATTTATTAACCAAAATCTCAAATCAGAATCAAGCCATTACAGATATGGTTAATAGATGGATTTTAAATAATTATCTGTGTAAATGTAATGGGAATGTAATAAGAGTTGTGTTCTAAGCTAAATACATTATGTCAGGGGAGGAGGATATATTACTTGCTGTTCATCCATTCATTGAAAAGACCTTAGTATATTTGAATTAACGAGGCACCCTGCATAAGAAGTACCTATCCAAGAAACTGGAACATACCATTGTAGTTAAATCCTATTCATACTTATTTAAAAGGAAGTATCGCTGAATTTATAGGTAAACTGCATGTCCAATTATATTTATTAAGGATTACATCCCATGGACTTCAGTTTCTTTAGAAAAATGGCTTTAACAAAATTTTAAAATTTTATTTTTAACTACTCAGGAATAAATTACACTGAGTTAAGCAAGACTTACTCTTCACATGCAAAGAGGAAACAGTCAACAGACTCCCATTCCTCAACATCTACATAAGGAGACTAGACAACGGAGAACTAGAAACCCGCATCTACCACAAACTCACATACTTGGACCAAATCCTTAGCTTTGTAAGTAATCACCCCACCACACACAAAAGAAGCTGGGTCCAGGCCCTCTTGAGAAGGGCCAGGACACAATGCAGTACCACTAAGAAAAGTGGAAGAGAAAGGGCTGCTTGATGTCTTTTTCTGTAACGGCTATCCAAAAAACTTAGTATTCCGACGCAGCCAAACTACAACACACCAGACAGTCAACCAACACACAAAAACTAACCCTACCATATACAAAAGGGGTGTCAGAAATGACAGCCAGAATTTTCCAACCTCTAGGAATAGCAATAGTCCACAAACCCACAACTACACTCTGCCAGGAATTATCCAGAACCAAAGACAAGATACAGAAGGATGAAAGAAACAATGTAATCTACCAAATCAGTTGTGACAATTGCAACCAATTCTATGTGGGAAAAATATCACATCAATTAAAAAACAGGATCCATGAATACTGGCTGACAGTCAAATGCCACGATCCCAAATCCTTAATCTCTACCCACACTGACACCAAACAGCACCAGTTCGATTGAGCAACAAAAAAATTTATCAGCCACGCTACCACCCACCACACTCATGAGTTCATCGAAGCCTGGCACTCCACAAGCAATTTCATCAATAGGCACATCAACCTACAACCAGCCTACGAACCCTTCAGAATCCAAATCAACCACACAGCTAACCAGAGACAGCACCAACCCTCAACCATCCCACAGAAGCCCCCCCAATCAGCATTTCACCTCCCAATGACCCTCACCTGATGTAACCTCCCCATCACAAGACCCTCACAAGACTTCCACTGATGACTCACACCTGACCCATTACAAGATCCTTACTTGACAAACCCACACCTGACCCATCACAAGACCTACTGACCACAAGAAGCCCTTATACACAGAAACACACTGGCACTGACATCCCTTAAACTCCTCTGAAGATGTTACCTAGCCCGGTAATGAAAAGTTCATAAATCAACCCACAAGCTTGGAGAACAAACCTTCACTCTCAACTTACTCTTATGTAAGCTGGTAAAAAATTGAAGCATTAGACTGAAAGCTTATATATAGAAGGCCAGAAATAAATACACCGAATTTAGTAAAACTTATTTCTGAAAAACTGTTTTGGCATGATTTATTAAAATACAGACTAACCAATCACATATTAGAATGACATGTCAATTCAGGCTGTGTGATTAAACTGATGCATAAACTCAGATATATGATCACCAAATCTTAAAAAGTAGTAACTTAAAACACACACACACACACACACACACACAGAGAGAGAGAGAGAGAGAGAGAGAGAGAGAGAGAGAGAGAGAGAGAGAGAGAGAGAGAGAGAGAGAGAGAGAGAGAGACTTTTTTATTACTCTACTTTTGCTTAAACTTGTTGCCAAGAACAGATGGATAAGGAACAAAAACATTTTATTTCATGTTCATAACTATTTTTTACTTAAAATTCATGTTTCATACAATGGTTGTTAATACAAATTTTCTTAGAAAATATTCTTCAAACTATTAAAAAAAAAAACCAAATACTTGTTACCCATCTATAGTCAGCTTTATGGTTTAGTATAGAAAAATCTGATATGAGAAGTGGAAATCCCAATATACTATTTAAAATAAACAAAAAAAACCCTTCATTTCACAGATTAAATCTCTGCAAGTGACTACAAGTTGAAGGCATCTAGATCTAATATACTAGCCCTCATTGGGCAGCATTCTTCCTAAAGTTGTGTGTCTGAAATACAGGGGTCCTTCTACCCTTGCTACTCCTACTATAAATCTTTCTCAATTTTTGTGGTGACCCAGATGATGCCGTTTCTGAAATAAAATGCATTGATATCCTTCTAATCTCATCAATGAATAGATGGATAACTGCTACATTCTACTAGGGACTGCTTTTGAAACTATAATTGGTCTAAAATGCAGTTGCCTACTAGCTGATGGATTGTTCCCAGTTTGTGCTTGCTGCGTTGCAGTAGGCTATAGGTAAATTCCAAATTACAGTTATTATTTTAGACCAGGGACAGTTCAAAGTTCTGTCATTATCTAAAAAGCATTTTCTGGCTCAACTACTTATTTCCTATGGGACATATTCTCTAAATATGTCTCTAAATAGATTCTTCACTTTCTTTGTATTTTTCCTGGGAATATGTTTTTGATTCCTATCACCAATATTATCTAGTTGGGTAATGAAACATTTGCAAGCAAACAACCACGCTGAGAGAGCACCAAGGACTCCACTGTCCTACTATTCCAGATAGTTCAAGGTATGGTCATATGGAGGATATTTCTGGAATCCTTTCTCTCTGAAGATAGAATGGCATCTTTCCTGCTTTCATTCAGGAAATGTTCTCTTCCAGTGGGTCTTTAGAGAGTACATTGGTAATTAATGCTGCCTATCCATACTATCTCTTATGGTTATGTAATTCTGTGGATTTGTTATATAATTTTATGTTATTATTTTCTTACTGCTGTTTCAGTTGCAGATAGGTGATAAAACATTCAAATACCATGACACAACATATATGAAAACACAAAAACATTATATCAGTACTATACTAATAGTACTGATGATCATCATGCTAAGCAATTGCACTCTCAGTAACAATCAATCATTTACTGTAGGGATGGGAACTCACCATTCTATCATAGCTGCTTGCTTAGTTAAGCTGTAGAATATTGGTCACATTTTTTCTTTTTCTCAATAAATGACTGAAACAGCTATTGCTTGAGCATCTGTGTATAGAGGTTCTCATTTGCAGAGGGAAGGATCAGATATGTTTTCATTTAAGAAGAAATTGTTTAGCCTCATTGCAATAAGCATTCATCCCATACAATATATCAAATATGCTGACAATTCCTTATCCTAATGAATTACAATGATATGTTGCTGCCCTTATCAGACATCTCTTAAAAATCATTACAGTAGAGATATTTTGTAGCCCAGATTCTATCCAGTAATGAAAATTGGGCTTGTGCACCTCTACTTTGTGACTATCCACAGACCATTTTCCTAATGTAACTGGCTTCACTGACATTATTTTATTGTTACAACACTCTCTAGCCCAAGTTCCTTCTAAAGTTCAAATGAAATATATGACTATCGGATAATTTTGTGCTTTTTAAAAATAGCCCCTGCCCCCACAGTTCTTAACTTACAGTGGTTGGTTTAGTATCTAAATTTCAACCGTCAGATCAATCTTTTCTTTAGCAATCTAAAGCTATCTTCAAATGTTCTTCTTAGATTTATTGTTGACATTTTTGACCACTTTTATATCCATTCTCTGCTTCTGATAAATGGGTTTCATAAAAGAAATGTGGGAAATAAATGGCATAAATAAATAGCTGGCAGAACCTTGCATATAAAATATTAAACTAAATCTGATTAATGCGGAATAAATTGAAATGACCAAAAAGGAAACAATTTCTTAGAACTGCCCTGACCACTTTTATTAGACATTAAGACTCATTTCCTTCCTTCCTTCCTTCCTTCCTTCCTTCCTTCCATCCATCCATCCATCCATCCATCCATCCATCCATCCATCTATATTTGTTGTTCAAATAACATCATTGGTAAAGTGTGATAACAATGATTCAGTCCAGACATTTTTATACTCATCCCCCATTATGATTTTCTATGTCCTCAGATTCTTGACAGTCTGTTGGCTCTACATTGAAGCTTGTCCATGATGTGAAAACTTTCCCTTGTTTTCTGTGTGAATGACCTATCAGGGACCATGTGGGAATGTTTGCATAGCACCATGCTGCTGTGCCTTCTTCCACAAGCCAAAGTACTTCACACATCTCTTCAGATTAGTGTAATGGATAAACAAAGCTGCTCACATAGTGATTGCTGATGTCAGCCAC